TGAGAGCTGTTATCAGAAGGCAGCCAGGTGAGTAAAATCAGATAAAGCATTATCCGATTCTTGTGCTGTAAATCAGATTTTAATAGAGAAAAGATCTGTATCCCTTAGGGAATGGAAAGAATATGTTTATAATGTGTTTTGAATGTGTGCTACCAAATGTGGCCAAAACATATTTTATCTAACCAGATTTCCACTTGCTTCTTTCACCCTTAAGAATACATGAGCTCTGCTTGTGCCAAGTGATAGCAAACACCTAAGATAAGTCTGCATTTAAAAGCATGCATACACATTGCATCCTCATACAGACACAGAAAAAATACTGAATTCTGCAATGCTAAAAATATCATCAAGACATCATTGTTTCTCTGCTGGCAGAATAATTTACAGATTTCAGGTTTCTCTAATCAGTTGTTGAAATGAGACCTTTGATAGCCTAGTCAGAACCCCAATCCAGCTTCTATCTGAGGTACTTATCCTTGTCTTTTTCTATTCAGAAGCTATGAGGTCTCATGACAGCACCTGTAGGCTAGACACAGATAACATTTGACTATTCCTTGAAGGTTTTACAAATTTTAATCAGCAGAGTAATCTAGATGTGCTCAGACAGAAATCAGTGTTAAATATTAAAAGCCCTGATGCAAAGCCAGCTCTTTCCTGTACTGCAGTGTTACACAAAATTTGAGTTGCTGGAAATTATTGTTTGCAAAAATGAGGGCTCCTCTCTCACCTAATGCATCATGTTTGACTGTTCAGACAGAACTGAAACTCTGGAATTAGCTTACTGCCTGGATACGTAAAACAAAGATTTTAGGGACTCAAAAATTACTTTTAAAATCCAAACTTGTTAGGCCAAATTCAATTAATTCCATTAAAAAACTGGAGAAAAAGGCCTCTCACGTAGTGTTTGCCTTAATAATTTCATTTATTTTATGATTTACACATGAAAATTAAATTCTAACCAAACCACTTTGTTTATTGAGGTTTATGAAGGTGCGTGCTCCGAGTGCCATTAATGAATGAACATGGAAACCATGCCATGGCCAGCCATGCTGACATCCATGTCACACTTCAGTACCTCTGATTCCCTTGACAGGTGAGCTTTTGGTCCTACATCTCAATTTACAGGAGGACTAACATTTTCATAAGTGACTGCACAACTCTAGGAAGCGCAGAAGTCATTAAGACAATGAAAGCTAATATCAAACAGGTTATCTGAGTGTAAGGCTTATTTATTTAGGAAAAAAAATCCAATCAAGACACAAATAATCACATCATGTATTTGAGATATTGGCTTCCCTCTGGGGGGCTGAAACTACACTTTAATTAGTTTTATCTGTATCTGAACAATAACCTGATTTAAAATCTGTGTTTGGATGAGTAAAGGTTAGCTCTAGTCACTTGGGCACAAGAGCAGTTTCAGGTTGTAACGACCTTGGTGTCTCAGATAGATAGATTAAACATCTTCAAGGAAGACCAGATCATCTCTGCTTTTATATATCTGTGACGATAATGCTGAGAAATAAATGAAGGAACTATGACCTGGGAGAACCATGAATACTGAGACTGAATGTGTAGTCCATAATGGGTTGCAGTGTACAAATCACTAAGGAAAACACTGTAAGGGTCTGAGGTTTTCCCTTGGAAACAGACAGTAACAACAACTGGGAGAAGCTGAGATGGTGGTGTCATGTTAACATGAACCAAGCAGGAAACTGTCACTTTGGTACATTTTTGTTCCCCAGAAAAAAAAAAAAAAAAAAGAAGACAAAAAGACCAAACTAAGAGTAATAAAAATCCCTGTAGGTCCACATCTATTTATGCTCTTAAGTAACTTGAAAAAGTTTATTTCAGCACAACTAGAATGACAAAGTTCTTTACTGTGAGGGTGGTGAAGCACTGGAACAGGCTGCCCAGAGATGTAGTGGAGGCCCCATCCCTGTACACATTTAAGCAACCTGATCTAGTTAAAATGGTCCCTGCTTATTGCAGGGGGGTCTGGACTAGATGACTTTTAAAAGTCCCTTCCAACCCCATACATTTATGATTCTATGATTGCATGATTCTACTTGTTACCACTGCACCTCCCACAGTGTTCCCCTCCAGCTGGCACAACTGGAGGCGTAACTCCTTTCTCCTTAGCTTCAGCAGATCAAGCTATCTTAATTTAGTAGTAACAAAGCCACATCGTTTGTGGGAGCAGACAGATCATCTTTAAAATTGCCATCTTTCTAATTAGCACCTTCAAAATCTGATTAAATTTGTGTCATTAAATTAAAAAAAAAAATCTGATGTATCTGAAAAATGTTTTCAGACTAACAACAAAAGCCACAATAAAGGACTGCAACCTCACAGCATCTACCACATTTTGATCCACACAGTAGCCATTTGTAAAGTGCAACAGGTTTCAGAGAGCTTCCCATTAACATGAGCCTGGTTTGAGCTTCTTTCACCTCTCTCTGGAAGGTAGAATATTTACAGAGAAATGAGTAGTCCCTCAGTCCCACAGGCTACAAAACTCACGGCACAACAGGAGAGGAGCCCATGAAGTTACAGTACCTTACTTGTTAACTGTACTTTTCAGTACAAATGAAAATATTTTATTCTTTTTCAAATTAAGAGAATATCCAGTGTAAAAGGATGAAACCTTGACTAGCCAGGCAGCTCTTCACCTGGCAAGTCTCTCATGTCCTGAAATTAATGCCATATTTATATCTTTTATGATTACTGAGCTACTGATGCTACCACCTCCTTAACTGCACTTTCTCGAGCTCTCAGTGGAACAAGACATACCCTGGACTACCACATCTGCTGATGGCTGGAACACAGGGTCAACCTTAGATTAAGTATTAGCCAAAGAAGGCACTGCACTCAGAAATGTGAGAACCACATGCCCTTTCTGTTTGGGAGGGACCTGAAGCCTGGCCATGTAAATCAGACTGCAAGACCAGAGCATCTCAATTAGTGCTTTGTTTTAATGGGTTGCAGTGTACACATCACTAAGGAAAACACTGTAAGGGTCTGAGGTTTTCCCTTGGAAACAGACAGTAACAACAACTGGGAGAAGCTGAGATGGTGGTGTCATGTTAACATGAACCAAGCAGGAAACTGTCACTTTGGTACATTTTTGTTCCCCAGAAAAAAAAAAAAAAAAAAGAAGACAAAAAGACCAAACTAAGAGTAATAAAAATCCCTGTAGGTCCACATCTATTTATGCTCTTAAGTAACTTGAAAAAGTTTATTTCAGCACAACTAGAATGACAAAGTTCTTTACTGTGAGGGTGGTGAAGCACTGGAACAGGCTGCCCAGAGATGTAGTGGAGGCCCCATCCCTGTACACATTTAAGCAACCTGATCTAGTTAAAATGGTCCCTGCTTATTGCAGGGGGGTCTGGACTAGATGACTTTTAAAAGTCCCTTCCAACCCCATACATTTATGATTCTATGATTGCATGATTCTACTTGTTACCACTGCACCTCCCACAGTGTTCCCCTCCAGCTGGCACAACTGGAGGCGTAACTCCTTTCTCCTTAGCTTCAGCAGATCAAGCTATCTTAATTTAGTAGTAACAAAGCCACATCGTTTGTGGGAGCAGACAGATCATCTTTAAAATTGCCATCTTTCTAATTAGCACCTTCAAAATCTGATTAAATTTGTGTCATTAAATTAAAAAAATAATTCTGATGTATCTGAAAAATGTTTTCAGACTAACAACAAAAGCCACAATAAAGGACTGCAACCTCACAGCATCTACCACATTTTGATCCACACAGTAGCCATTTGTAAAGTGCAACAGGTTTCAGAGAGCTTCCCATTAACATGAGCCTGGTTTGAGCTTCTTTCACCTCTCTCTGGAAGGTAGAATATTTACAGAGAAATGAGTAGTCCCTCAGTCCCACAGGCTACAAAACTCACGGCACAACAGGAGAGGAGCCCATGAAGTTACAGTACCTTACTTGTTAACTGTACTTTTCAGTACAAATGAAAATATTTTATTCTTTTTCAAATTAAGAGAATATCCAGTGTAAAAGGATGAAACCTTGACTAGCCAGGCAGCTCTTCACCTGGCAAGTCTCTCATGTCCTGAAATTAATGCCATATTTATATATTTTATGATTACTGAGCTACTGATGCTACCACCTCCTTAACTGCACTTTCTCGAGCTCTCAGTGGAACAAGACATACCCTGGACTACCACATCTGCTGATGGCTGGAACACAGGGTCAACCTTAGATTAAGTATTAGCCAAAGAAGGCACTGCACTCAGAAATGTGAGAACCACATGCCCTTTCTGTTTGGGAGGGACCTGAAGCCTGGCCATGTAAATCAGACTGCAAGACCAGAGCATCTCAATTAGTGCTTTGTTTTCCTTAAGTTTTAATCAATCTTTATCTAAAATATCCTGTTATTTTCATGAGTTAATGCATCCTGAATGACTCAGTGTGGGAGGAAGGGGCAGAAGGATGAAGATTGTTTCAATATTTTTTTAGTCAAGAAACCTCCTTTCTCTACAGATAAATGTCCCTGTTCTAGACCAAATGCACCTTTTCCCCCTTTAAAATAAGAAAAAAGAACTACTAATTTAGAGTTGACAAACAGACAACATACAGGATTGAGTTCAGGGGAAGTGAGGTAGCTTTAATAATCTGTATCACATTATTATTTGTCTGTTGTAACTTTATGTCTTATAACCAGGCGTTGAGGCACTCAGCAGCTTCCCCTCCCTGGAGGGCAATGCATCAAGATGGTCATGTATCATGACCTCAACAAACGTTCTATTTAAAGAGCACAGTAAGTCCCACATGGAAAACACACTTCTGCCTGCAATATCTCAGTCTTAAATATATTTCTTTTTTTTTAAATAAAAAAAAATGCTTTCTAGCAGGTACTCAGTACTATGCTCCACCTTCAAACACCCAAGGCCCTTCAGCACTGGTAAGGCTGGTGGAAACGTGCAGTTAGGTTCATATCACAGAAACCATCTCAGAAGTGTCTGACTTACTGAGGTTCCATTTGAGGCCCGTGGTGGTCACGCTCTCACAGGGGTTCCCGATGGGGATGAGCCCACACCAGCTGCCTTCCAGCCCCGTGTCCACGTGCAGCTTGTGCTTGCCCTGCAAGACAGAAAGGCCTCTGCAGTCAGTGCCTGCCAGGGACCCAAAGAGCATTTGCCAACAGACCTTGCAAATAAAACAAAGTATTTAGATGGAGGCAGGTTCAGAATGTCCCCTAAAGTCTCTGGAATATTTGGCTGTGGGAATTCAGATTGTTGATGTTTACAGAGGGAGGTGAGATGTGCTCAGGTTCCAGACCTTAGGGCTTTCAGAAATTGGTTTCTGGGCTTTTCTAAGCAGCACCTGGCTTTTTTTTAAAGATGCACTTCTGTCAAAGCTAAGCTTTTTGCTCCTGTGAAATGAAGGTGTCCTGACTCTTCCATTAACTTTCTCCCTCATCTAAACAGCTGTGTTTCTCTTCCTAAACAATGCTAGTCAAAGCATCACTGAAACTCCCTAATCATTTTGACAACACCTGTAAAATTTAATGTAGTTTTCCAGGCATGTACTCTTCCCAGAAGTAAGACTACATGCAGAAACTTAACTAAGTGCTAGAGAAATGAACCTCAATATTTAGAGTAACATGCTTACACTAAGTAAGAACAACAAAGTGAAACTAAAACACATTATTTTTATACATCTAAGATATATTAATCTTGTAACTATCAAGTTCATGGGATGCAGGAGAAGCAGCAGCTATTAATATTGACGGATTTGTGACCAAGCTCTTAATTAGTACTTATAGACCCTGTATGAACATGTTGCCAGGTATCAGCATATGAGCAGTTGCAAGGAAGACTAGATAGTGGCAGTCTTTTACAGAATGAAAAAAACACCTGAATGTGAGAGTTCTGGCCCAATTTGTGTTCTAAGAAACTAAGAAATTGTCTGTGAAACCTAGCTAAAAAATCATCATCTCTCCGATCTCTTCTACACAGGTAATCTATTCTTTCAAACACACATGGGCTTCTTTGGGCTTTTATTTTATTCTGTTGTGGATGCAGAGGCAAGTTAAACGCTTGAGCATGTCTTTAACACATAATTTCTTCATCACTATAAAAGTTAGATATGCCTATGTGTTAACGTACCAAAAAAACCCCCAACAAAACCAACTACAAACCTCTTGAGAACCAATGAATATTCAGCGAGTCCTTTGTTATGCAAGAAACGTAGGTTTATAGCAAAAGAAAAAAGAACAGTTGAAGTTTTTACTCAGGTAAACGTCCAAAGCAGCAAAAACACTTTCTCACACATTTTCTTTTAGGGAATGTATTTAAGCTTTTCCTTATGTCCTATCCTCTCTTGCATTCATTCCAAATGCCCTTGCAAATATAAATTCACTAATTAGAAAGTCAAAACTGGTGTAAAAGTATCTTATTGCTGAGATGTTGATGTAGGAGGCATTGAACAGATTCTCCTGTTAATGCCAAATGCATTATGAAGAAACAACTTCAATAGATGTCATGCTCTCAGTTAACAAATGAACCTTGGGAAAGCTGTCAATTAGGGACTATCAGATTGCATAGCTTAAGCCTGCTTGATTGTTTGCAGAGCTACAAGAAAACCAATCCAGTATCATCTATCTTCTCAGGGTGTCCAGCTTCATGTGGTGATAAGCCATGTGTCTCTATAGTGGTTGTGAATGCTTGCCTGCCAAATTCAGAGGTGTAACAAATTCAGGCTTGATAGCCTTTTTAGCTAAGCAATATGCCATATTACTTCTCTCTTGCAGTACAGAGGGAGGAGGAAAAGGAGAGGAGAGGTACAAGTACAAGCTCTCTTTGTTATGTGACAGCAGATACTGTCTGTACTGAAGCTGGTGAGGAAGGAGAGAACAAAGGGGTGGGACTGTCTGTTTCCAATGGATGTATATATTGCTACCCAGAGCTATTAGAGGAGAGGAGCAAATTCACTACACATTAATTAGTAGAGGAATATGAAAAAGAGAGGTAAAAGTAACTGTCCTGATGGAGAACCTGATAAAGTTTTGTATTCTCAAAAACTGTCTCTACCTACTATTGGTAAGTAGGTTTGCATTTCCTATTTTATGACATTCTGGCACAGCTTACTGATAGGGATTCCGTTCAACAGAAATTAAGGCAGAAAGCTCTTTCTGTGCCCATGAAATAAACCTTTAAAACAAAAGAAGCCATTACCACAGGCTCACCAATATACAGGATTTTATCAGAGGTCTTTCAATACCTGACACTCCCCTAAAATCCCAGTTCACATGTCCCAGCAATTATGTGAGAATCTTGACTTTTGTCCCTAAAAAGATATTTTCTAGACCTCAGTTGTTAAGAGAAATTTCAAATTAGGAGCCCAAAGGGCTCCTAATCCAAGGCAGCAACTAAATAGGAATTGGAATATTAAAATGCAAATTATTTTCTAAAAACCCTCTTAACTGTTAAGCCAAACTCACGGCAGTGAACCAACCCCTAAGCCAGGAGTTTGACTTAACAGTTTAAACAGTTTTAAAGGCTCTTCTTTAAATAAACCAGTAAGTTATCTTAATATAATTGGAAACAGTGGGGACAGAAAAGGGAAATGATCACTGGAAAAAAACAAACAGGCAAAATACCCTAAGTAATCCACTGTTTTGTTTCGGTTTGGTTGTTTTTTTTTGCCAAAACAGATAAATGCATTCATCACTAAGGCTTTAAATTCAAAGCCCTGAGTCTGCCATGGGGGAAATTAGATGCCCAAACTTATCTTCAAATTTCTGAGTACAGATTTTTCACCCAAGCAATATGGAACCAGTATGTGCAGGAGGAAGGAAGGATCAGAGCTTGTAATTTGCAAATACAAGTAATAATTTGTTCTATTGAGGTCTCTGTGATTAAAGGAACAATTATATACTGGCACTTAACACATGAAACTGTTTTCAATTTCTGCAGAACTCAGAGTTCCAAAATTAGGACTAAAAAGGAAACCAAAGTTTGACTGATTAAATCCCTCTTTCTTAAGTTTTTTTGCCTCTGAAGAAGGTATGTGAAATATTTTCACGTTTACCTTAAGAATCAAATATTACCATGTTTGAATGATACTGGTGGTAGAATAATGGCAAACAATACAGCTGCATTGATTTTTATCTTATTAAGTCAGTTTTGAAAAACATTGATCAATCTTCAGCATTGATTTCTTTCTCCTTCATTTTGTCTCTGATGCTAGGAAATAAGATCAATTTCTAAGTTCAGCAACAACAAGAAAATGTCAGGAGATACTTTTAAGAATGCTTCATCCATATAGGTTAAACTTTTCCTTTGATTCTAATGTGTTATAAGAAAGCATGTAGTTAAATATACAGCCTCTCCAACTCTTTTTGCTGAGGAAAGACCTAAAGGCATATTTGCTCTTTGTCACATCTCCTAACTCAAATGAATAAAATCTGATTGCTAGGAACTCATATACTTAACCCTATCCAAGGTTGTAAGATGCTAAAATCCTTAGTCAAAAACTTGCAAGGTGAAAATCACATGAACAATATGAAGACAAAAGCTGAAAGCTTCTGTGTGTGTACAGATGCCCTACAGGCACTTCATAAAAATACAGAGAAAATCACTTCTCCAAGTACTTTGCAGACCAACTTGAATAAATGTATAGTCTAAAATAGATAACAAGTGACAAAATGTTATGAAAAAGAAAGAGAATGGGGACTGATCTTCAATACTGCATTCTGAAGGGATAGGAGGGAAACCTGAAACCTGACTGGCTGAAACTAGATACAGAGGAAAGGCACAAAATATTCTTTACAAAAACAAATGAAGAAAGATTTAATAATCAGATCTTGGAAACGGCTGAAAGACTAAGATGTAACCAGGAAGGAAAAGCAACGAGTTACAGGATTACAGGACAATGTGACTGTATTCTGCTTTGCAGGCTGCCCTGATAATTTGTCCACTGTAAATAAAACTACTGAATAACTTAACACTTAGAAGTCAGATTTTGTAAACAGTATACTTTCACCTGTACTTGCTGTGAGATGTGGGACTAGAGAAATGGGATTTCTTGAGATCTGGCCAACTGCACTATGATACCTCCTCCACTAGCTAGACCTTGTTTTCCATAATCTTTTGATGAAATGTCTTTTTATATCAGCTTTATTTCTATGATTACTCCACAGATGGCAGTACACACTTGAAAACAACAACAGAAGCAGAAAACTAAATACAGATGTCATAGTGTTACCCAGTGAAAAGGCCAAAGCCACATTCAGTTTTAGTACATAATCATCTGGGTGCAGAAAAGGCTATATAGATAAAAGGCTTGGGGTATGGGTGGAAATTGACACTATCACCAAAGACTGCATCAGAGGGGAGAAGGAAAAGGACAGGATGAAACAAAGCTGAGAACACTTATGCTAATATCAAGTATCATGATTGGCAATGAAGTGAAAACAAAGTTCCAGAAATATTTCTACTAATCATTAGTTGTGTAAGAGTTTGACTTAGCAACAATAAAAGCTTTTAGGTGGAGATTCTGAGCATTATAAGTACAGCCTATTTTTCTAAAAGGATGTATTTAAGAAGAGCTATTCTTTTATAAACCTAAAATATCATCAATTGTCTTTTCTAACAAATATACATAGTGCAAAGTTGCTATCACATGAATGCTGTTCACAGAATGTTATTTGAGCCAATAAGGCTTTCTGTTGCTGTAACAGAAGTATCCACAGTTCCAGTGAAAACTCAGAAGTCTTAAAATTCTTGTATATCATATCAATCCCTCCTTTACTCTTTTGGGAAAAAACCAGCACACTGTGTTTCTAAACAATATAAAAAAAAATGTTGGACCCAATCCTGCTGATCTTTGCTGTCAAATGTTGGCAGTGCTTCTGTACTGAAATGGATAGACTTCAGTATATCAGTTATTTGCAAGACAGGGCCATACCATTCCTACCCTTCAAAAGCAACACATCTTAAAATGGCAATTCTTTAGTTAATAACGTCCCAGGCAGTAGAGAGAAAATAAATTATAATCATTATTGGACCAAATCAATGAACACATCTGCTTCAAGACATTGAGGTGGTAGAGCGAGTACAGAGAAGGACAACAAAGCT